CGCACGTGCATGCAGGGGGCCGGGCCCCGGGGGCCAGGGCAGGCGTCCGCACGGCGCAACCGCGGCGCGACGTGGGCCAGGGACGCTTGCACCCCGGAGCAGGGTGGGCTTACGTGGGGGGGGGCAGCTGCCCCTGCTCAGCCCCTTGGCTCCGGCCTCCCGGGGGCCGTCGTGCACCAGCTCACGCCTTCCCACCCTGTCCCTCGGCCACCCCCTACCCCGGCATCCTCTGGGTTTCCAAGCTCAGGGCCCGGTGAAAACCGCGGCGGTCCGGGCAGCTCGCTCCACCTCCCCGCCCAGAGAAGCCGGTAGCACTGCCTGGGGCAGCGGGTGGGCGAGGGGGCTCCCAGCCTGACCTCAGCGGCAGCGAAGCAGCCAGCTGGCAGGGCTCTCCCGTGGCAGGCCCCGGAGGGAGCCCGACACACGCTCCAGACCCCAAAGACCCGGTGGCTGCCGCGCTGGGCTCCTCCCCACCAGCCCGGGCTTGTTTACCAGCCGCCCAACGGTGTGTTTAGAGGCTATAAATAATCGAGGGGGTTATAAATACCCAGGCTCCTGCTTGCGACGGGTTTTGTGGCCGCGTTTCAGAGGCATCCCCCATGGCAGGCCGGGGCGGCGAGGCGAGGCGGCTGCCAGGGGCTGGAGAGCCGACCCGCTGCCTTCCATCGGGACCGACCTGCTGAAGGGCCAGAGGATCCGGCCCTGCCGGGCCCGGGTTGGGATCCCTGCGGGCCCTGGAGTGCAGGCGGAGGGGCGGCAGGTCCAGGAAGGAGCTATGCGCCTACCCCGCCCCTTCGCACGCATGGGCTGGACTCGGGTCCAGAAGGATCAAGGTTGCCACCGTGCTCCGTCACTTCCTCACTGCCAGGCGAGGCAGCTGGAGCTAGTGGTCGTAGCACAAGGCAAAGGCAGCTGGGACCCACCCGTCCACCCCCAGCTGTCCCCATGTCTGCCCACCCCGCCATCACTCCACCCACTGACCTCCGTGCTGGCTGGTCCCCAACGTCGTTGCACGCCCTCTGCCACGCGTTTGTCCCCCAAGAGCACGAGCCATCCCCTTCTTGCCTTCCTCCCCTGCAAAAACAAGGTGCAGTTGGCATGGGGGCTGCAGCCTCACACGCCTTGGCACAGAGCCCGCAAAGCCCTGGGACAAGCCCAAGGATGGGTGAGCCAGGTCCAAGTCCCGCAGCAGTGCCAGCCCCCACCTGCCAGGCAACTCTGTCCCGCAGGAAACAGAGCGTCCCGAGCCCCAGCCAGCCTCGGCAAAGCCCGGTAACACGCCCTGGCACGCGTGTGTACAGGCACACACATACAGACGCTCTGGGCCATGGTGCCCGGCCCCGAGGAAGGAAGCCGAGCCTGGAACCTGCCTCCCGAGCTGAGACCGCCTGAGCTCCGGGGGCTCGTCGCCATGTCCGCGCAGAAGCTCAGACAGGCTAAGCCCCAAGCAAAGCGGCCACCACGAAGCCCCGTCCGGCTCTGGGTGCCCATGGGGCAGTGGTGGCCGTAGGGTTGTTGGGGCCTCGGGCAAGAGAGTCATTTGGGGCTCCTTAGAGGCTTAATGTTGATGACCTATAAGCAAGTCGGACATTTGTTGCAAAAATTTGGGGCCCACTGAGGTGTGGGGCCCCGAGCGGTCGCCCAGTTTGCCCTCCCCTAAGGCTGCCACTGCATGGGGTCACGGCGGGAGTGCTGGTCCTGCCCGTGCCAGCTGGCCGGCCCACACCCCCAGGGCCTGGCCCAGCCACTGCACAGACGTGACATGAAGCCAGTACAAGGGGAGATGTGACCCCACGCGTCTCGCTCGCTGGCTGCAACCGGCCTCTCCCAACCGCAGGGTGCCAAAGTCCAAGGCGGACAATCCCCCTCAAGGCCGGACGGCTCCTTCTCTCCATGCAAACCTCTGCTGGGGCGTGCGGGGGTCTGCCGTCAGTCCCACCGGCTGGAGCTCACCTGGCCCCCCGCGGGGTTCGGTGCCGGACCCCCCCGGCAGCTTGGGCCCCGCCGCTGCGTCCATGCCGGCAGGATCCGTGCCACGGGCAGCTCTGGGCCCGGGCCCCGCCGCTGCGTCCATGCCGGCAGGATCCGTGCCACGGCCACGTCACCCTGCAATGGTCACACACACGTCTTGTTTCCACGCCTGGGGGGAGGCAAGCCAGGCGCCAAGAGGCCTGGGTTTGACCCCCCGGTCTGGGAGGGCAGCGGGGCTGGGAGCCTGGACACCTGGGATCTACCCCGACTCGGAGCTGGGACGGCCTGGCTGCCATCACCAGCCTCCTCACCGTCTCATTGGCTGAGCCATGACCCCGCCCCTTGCCTCAGTTTACCCACCTGCCACTTGACTCCCGTACCCACCTCCGCACCAGGGAGGCCTGAGAGGCTCGGAGTTACTGACGGCTTGCAGAGCACCCCGGCTCCTGTGCCATGAGCAGAGCGCCCGGGCAGGGTCGTGCCGGGCTGGCAGGAGGCTGCACGAGCGAGCGGCAACGGGGCAAAGAGCGGGGGCTGGCGCCTTGACCCTGCTCCCGGCAAACACGGGGCTTTGCCAAGGCCGATGACGGGAGCTCCCGGCCCCCCGGAGAGGGGGCAGCACCGGTGCCCCCGTCCCACGGGGAAACCGAGCCGAGCGGGACCCAGGCGCCCGGGCCAGGATGCCCCCAGCCCAGGGGTGCATCCCCCCGGGG